CTGAAATCTTCCAGAATAAACCCTTCTGCCTCTATGATTATCAGGTTCAGCCCAAGAAACTCCAGAAGATGGTTCTGGAATTGCTTAGTTACTTTATTAGCTTACACCTGCTAGACAGAATCTCACCAGACTAACTCTTAACTCCCACAGTCTGCAACTAAACACTACGAATTCCTTAGGGTGGTGCCAGTCTCATCCTCTCTGCTTTCACACGCTCAGGCTGTGGGCTGAGGAGATGCTTCTCGCTATGACCTTGAAGCTCCTCATCCAAGTCCTCCATCACAATGACCTACAGTATTTTGAATAGGTCACATGTACTTCCTTTCATACATTGTCCATTAATACTTTCAAACAAATATATGGCACAAAATCTTTTTTTTTAACACACGGGTGCACCAAACAATATACTGTAGTAATACTGCATCAATATGGTAATATCTTAGACTAATTTTATCATACTTAGAATGGGGAGGGAAATTTTCAGTGGCCAGGGCCTGTACTTCAACATTTTTGAGGGTGCTGAGGGCTACAAAGTCAGTAGCACTATATCACACATGGGCAGGACTGGGGTTTGGGCTTTTTTGCAACATTGATTTCCCTAAATTATGAACTATGTTACACTTTGTATTTATTTCCGATCTCAAAATATAGGGAAATAACTCAGTTTTTAGTAATAATGGGTTAGAAGGGACTCTGAGGATGACATAAATGACTCGAGAATATAACTTGCCTTCCTTTGGAATAAATTCCAGTTGCATTAATAGGCAAAAGCATCAAAATATTTTTCCTTTATGGGAAAAGGGGCTGTTGTAATAAGCAATTAAGAGATTTTTTTTAATTAATAAGGCCTAATAGAATAACTAACATCTCTTAATGAGATTATTGTATTCCACAATTATGAGCAAGTTTTCAGAATTCTTAAGGCTCAGTGTTAAGCAGAAGTCAATTTGGGAAGGTGAGAGAAAAAGCTGATCCTGACACAAATTTGCAACTGCTCTAAGAGTGTAAAGCAAACACTTTAGTTACTACCTGAGATGGAGAATAAAGCAAAAAGTAGATGAACCTTCCTATATATTCCTGTCTTCCATAGCATCTCCCTGACCACTTCAACCTTGCAAGGTTAGCATGCTCTGGGTTCCTTCGATTAAGCAATGCCATCTATTGGGATCACAGAAGCATGCCTTCTCTGTAGCAGCACCTGCCCTCTGGAATGAGGTTCCTCCCAAGGTCTGACAGCACCTACTCTGCTGTTGTTCAGAAGAGCAGTGAAGGCCTAGCTCTTCACCCAGGCTTTTGACAAGGGGAAGTGAGACCCCTCCATTCCCTCTGGTCTGTTGCACTTGTCATCTTTTATTGTAATTTCTTCTACTGTGTGCCACCCAATGTCATTGGAAGTCGAGCAGCATGTAAGTTTAATAATAACAATAATAATAATTGCTACGGTTAGGGTCAGGCTGTCTAGCACTGGCAGAACCTCTTTGTTTCTGCTAGTGCCTGTTCAGTTTGAATTGCATTATCCAGATTTCTAAGAATACCTCTAAGCCAGGCAGGCATTCTTAAGAAACTCTAGCCCAGAAGACAGGTATCCATCTTCCCAGAAAAAGACTACAGTAAGCTAAAAGAGTAGGGATCACTGTGAAAGCCTAGAAAGTGTGGCAAGGAATCCTGCCAGTTTCACTGATGAAGGAAACAAAGACTGGCACGCCAACCTTGGCAGCCATTTTGTGAATGCACTGTTTCCCCTGCGCAGCCATTTTTAGAGTGCGAATAAGCTTTAAAGGTTCTAAATGCACACCAGTTCCTAAAACCAACTTAAGCTTCTGAAGTCCTACTTACCTTCCTGTTGATAATGAAATTCATGGGGTTATTAACCTGATTTTAAATTACCATTTTTAGTTAAGGACACATTCTCCTTTTCTATATCCAAGCGTTTGGAATCTATCAAGACATCTACAATTGTGGACTTGCATGCAGAGTGACCAGAAATGACTTGACTTGCAACAATGGATTGTTGGATTGTTAGTAAGCATAGCCAGTTAACATTTGAATTAGTGTTTTTTTCCTCAGTGAAGGAGGAAATAAGAAAATGTTGAACAATCTGATTATATTTTTTAAAGTTTTGTTTATAAAATAGATTTCTACTTCTATCACCTTTTATTTGGTGTTATATTTTCCTAATTCTGTTTATATGTGGGAGTTTTGGTTTTTGTTAATCAGCTGCTGCAATAAAAGTCCATGAGCATGGTAAAAAAATATCTGGATTTACTTCAGTAGGTAGCTCCTCTTTCAGGAGCTCATATTTAGCAATTCTGTGTTGTAACTTAATTGCTCATAATTCCCCATGTATGAGACAACAAAGCCTTTGGCTGCAAATACATAAATAGAAAAATTATTAGGAGGGTGCATAAAATCCATTTAGACCAAGCCCTAGTTTCAACATGGTAAGATTATTCAATAAAGATTTCCCATTATTGGTGCCTATTTTCTTCCAAGCAAGTGGCCTTTGTCCCGTCTCTAACCACCGAACTTCAAATTAACGGATTAACATTTATAAACTCCATTTTAGAAAAACCAGTCAATTAGTACAGGATCAAATAAAAGCTGATTATTTCCTTAAGACCATGATCAGCCAGTAGAAACTCACATACGGCACTTTGCGCAGGTGATGCGAGTGGCCGATAGCCTAGAAAAAACCGCCTAGACTTGGCAAAATCGAGGGAGGAGGGGAAAGAGGATAGGAGCCACAAAGATACTGTCCTAAAATGCCCTCGGACAAGGTAAGGTTGTTGCTAAGACAAATCGAGGGAGAAAAGTTGTCCACCAAATCATCAGGGGCCGGGCCGACTGCTTGGCACCTCGCTAACCGAACATGAGCAAAAAACGACGCTGCCATCGGCAAGCGCAGGCTTTCTCTTCGCAAACGCACGCTCGCTCCCTCCTGGGTCGAGGGCGGGGGAGAGAGGCGGCGAGGGAAGAGCCTCTTTCCACCCCCGCCTTCGTAGACCGGGGGGTCCTTTTTGAGGCTAAATTCCTTCTAACGAAACTCATGTCTGCCAGCCGCCCCCCACTGATCACACAACTGTAGCTTCTTCGCGGAGGGAGGGAGGTAGGGAAGGCCAGGCCGTTCTGCGTTTAGAAGCGCCGCCGAAGTCCCCCTCCCTCCCCGCCTGCCTGCTTCCCTCCCTCAGCCCCCTCCAGCGGGCGAGAAAAAAGGGGAG